GGGTAAAGATATCTAAAAATTTCAGGGGCTATTAATCTAGACATCGGAGGGCTTTGCATAGGCTGCTTAGCTGTGGATTTGGCAATACTGCGTCCACGAGGGTCTTTTGGAAACCTCAGTAGCACTGTGCTATGGACCATAAGTCGTAGTAAAGAAAACAACGGAATTCACACTTTGTTAAAATTATCAGTCAAGGACCATTTGTTTGCTGGTAGTTTTGGTTAAATAGGAATTCCAAATATCCCAAACTAGCAAGCAAAGGTTTTAAGCACAACTTGCTTATGTAAACAAGCATTCTCTGTATACTCCCTGTAGTTACTCTTTTTCTTTTTTTATATATATTTTTGAGACAGGCATGGAGCCACCCTGTAGTTACTCTTGAAATCAAGTTAAATATAGAATCTGACCAGACTGTCTTTCCACTGTTAAACCCCAATCAACGATTTCGTTTCAGCCAAGTAATATGCATTATCTGTCACATTTAATTAAAACATCGTCGGGCTAGAATTTTGGCTTTTTTTGGAGTTTAAAGTTATCCTTGTTTAATATGTCTACAAAATATAAACAATTCGTTATTTTCTAGGCAGTCATTCCTGTATAGATGATTTAATCTGGGGCAGTGGTGGGGCAGGCAGACTAGCATCTTTTTACTATACTTTTATTAAACAAAATTTTCTTTTTGTGTTAGTGTGTTCTCTCATACGGGTCACACATATGTCAGAGGACTTGTATTTACTTGTGTCCTTTGGTGTTAAGGCAAGCTCTGTCTTGGCATATGTAAAAACAAAGCTCCCAGCCCTGCACAGTGGCTCAGGCCTATGATCCTAACACTCTGGGAGGCGAAGGTGGGTGGATCCTTTGAACTCAGGAGTTTGAGACCAGCCTGAGCAAGAGCGAGACCCCGTCTCTACTAAAAATAGAAAGAAATTAGCTGGACAACTAAAAATATAGAAAAAGTTAGCCGGGCATGGTGGCACATGCCTGTAGTCCCAGCTACTGGGAGGCTGAGGCCAGAAGGATTGCTTGAGCGCCCAGGAGTTTGAGGTGCTGTGAGCTAGGCTGATGCCACAGCACTCACTCTAGCCTGGGGAACAAAGCGAGACTCTGTCTCAAAAAAAAGTGATAGGACTCTGTCTAGAGTCAGACCTGCCACCATGGCATGAGGATGCCCAAGCTACAGGAAGAAGCCACTTGTAAGTGCTATGGCTGACGGCTCCAGCTAAGGTCTCAGTCTACAGCCATTTATCCACCACCAATTAAGAGAACGAGTCTTCAGATGATTCTAGGCCCCAGACTCCAAATCTTCCAGATGTCATGGAGTTCAGACAAACTGTCCCTATAAGGAACACTCTGATCCCGAGTCTTATGCCTAATAAAAGGTAGTTTTACACCACTAAGATTTGGGTAATATTATTGACACAGCCATATAACCAGAATAGGCAACAGATAATATGTGAATGTGCGAACAAGAAGAAATAAAGTAGGGAGAGTGGGAGAGAGAGTTGGAGTTTTGAACGAGAAGGGAGGTGGCAGATCAATATGCAGGACTGATAAACTACAGTCGCTGCCATATCTGCTCACTGCCCATTTTTATAGTTTTGTGGAACAACTTAAATAGCTGTGTCACCATGAATCTTTTTTTTTTTAAGTTTTTTTTTTTTTTGGGAAGATTCTAGAAGCCAACCATGAATCATTTCATTTAGGTGTTATGTGCTGACAGTGGCAGAGGTTGTAACTTGTGACATAGAACTATATGATCCAGAAAGCCAAAATATTTTATTCTGGCCCTCTCATAGAAAAAGATTTTACCAATCCTGAATACAGGCTTGTAGAACATGATAGGAGCTTTGGCTCTTATTCTGAGATAAAAAGGCAGAAGCTATTCAAAGGGTTTTGTGTTGTTGGAGAGAGGTACTTCAATATTGCCGAGAGGCTCTGGTCTTAATTCCTTGGCCTTAACGAAGAGACTTCCCACACACTGTCCAACGATTCGATCCGCTCGGAGGCCACTGGCGAGCTCTAGACTGTCACACCCCAACAAGTCGGCCTGTTCTGGAGGTTTTAAGCAGAGAGGTGAATATATCTCGGCTTTGGATCTTTTAAAAGTACTCCCAGAGCCTGTGGAAGGCAGAAAGTAGAAAAGGCATTCTCCCACTACGCAGCTCAGGTGTAGAAGGGCCTGTCTGTACATACACATAAGTCATCAAGCAAGGAAGGGATATGTGTCCAAAAGTTTGCGAATGCTTTTGTGTAAGAGACAGTACTACACTAATCTTTCGTTTGGGGGGAAAATGAACACTTAAGGATATTAACACTCAATGCAGACTTTCAGTTAGCAGTGCCTTCCTGATATTTATCTACTCTCTCACTGCAATGCTGTGAATAGCAGTGATGATATGTTCCCTTTCTGCAAGAAAGAAAAAATGAGCCTCAAGAAGAAGTAAAAGGGTTTCCCCCAGGGTGCCCAAGTGGTTCAGGGGCCTGAATCCAGGCTTGGCCTCCAGGCCTGTCCTTTTCCTTCCTTGCCATCACTCTACTGCCTCTTCCATGGCTTAAATCTGGACAGCTACAGTGAGAGGCAGTAGTACATACAGTGTTGTGCTATTATTTCATAAGCCAGGAAAGTAAGAAATGTAAGAAACTAACATTTAAATTTATCTTAAAAGACTTGCTTGTGTTTAAAGGAAACAAATTTGATCGAGAAATGGATGGAGGCTGGGCACAGTGGCTCACGCTTATAATCCTAGCACTCTGGGAGGCCAAGGCAAGGAGGATCACTTAAGCTCAGGAGTTCGAGACCAACCTGAGCAAGAGCGAGACCCCATCTGTACTAAAAAGTAGAAAAATAAGCCGGGTGTGGTGGCTTGCACCTGTAGTCCCAGCTACTTGGGAGGCCAAGGCAGGAGGATTGCTTGAGCCCAGGAGTTAGAGGTTGCTGTGAGCTAGGCTGACACCACGGCACTCACTCAAGCCTGGGCAAACAAAGTGAGACTCTGTCTCAAAAAAAAAAAAAAAAACCAAAACAACAACAAAAAGAAATGGATGGAAATTGGTGGAGAAGAGAGGGGCTGCTAACATTTCATTTTAAAATTTAGGACTTGCTCAAAAAAAAGAAATTTAACTATTTTTATGAGTTATCATTACGTTTCTGAAAAAAAATGTACTTGGATAAAAAAATCAGAAAGGAAAATGCCATAGTTTTGTTTTAAAATAGCTGGACTATAAGATTAAAGTTTCTTAGTGTTTTCGTTTTTTGAGACAGGGTCTTACTTAGTTACCTGGGCTAGAGTGCAAGTGGCATCATCATAGCTCACAGCAACCTCAAACTCCTGGGCTTAAGTGATCCTCCTGCCTCAGCCTCCAGAGTAGCTGGGATTACAGGCACGTGCCACCATGCCCAGCTAAGTTTTCTATTTTTGTAGACACAGGGTCTTACTCTTGCTCAGGTTGGTCTTAAACTCCTGAGCTCAAGTGATCCTCCCACCTTGGCCTCCCAAAGTGCTAGTATTAGAGGTGTGAGGCACTGTGCCCAGCCTAAAATTTCTTAGTACTTTAAGATGATTTACTAAGTTTTTTTTTAAAACCACACAATTGTCATGACTTTATTTACACATGCATTGTCGGCCAAACCCCGGTTTTGTGGCCTCATGTATGGAATGGAACCGGGTGAGACTGTGAAGAGAGAAGAGAAAGGCATTCAAAGACATGCGAAAAGCGCTGCCCTTGGCCTTTCCTATAGGCATTCTTTTGGCCGTAACCAGTAGAAGAGAATGGTGCACTCTGTTGGGGCTGTGAAGGGTTGTCCTGGTAGGATTTTGGTCCCTTGCTTCTGTTATGCTACAGGATTCAAAGGAGCTTTCAGGAAAATCCTTACTGTACAGCTGGATTCAGCTACAATTCCACAAGTGACCTGTCAGAGACAGTGGCCACCACCTTTCCCATTCCTTCCATCCAAGGGAATGAATATTTCTAAAAATATGCAGATTCTCTACCTACCTTAATCCAAGAGTGTTTTTGATGTTTCTTTGCAACCCAGACATTTTCATTACCTTAAATGTTTTATTTCTGAATTTGAAGCAAACATAAGTCAAACGGTGAGACTTAAAAAGCTGGGAATTTGTTGGCACTCCCTGCCTTTCTGTATGTCCCACGTAACACACAGAGGGCATGGGTGGACACATCCTAGGCTGACCACTACTTACCTCTCCTGTAGCACCCTGGCCCCTAACTGGGTGTCCATCTATCATGTGGCACCCCAAAGCGGGAGTTTCACAAAGACAGGGATGAGAGGAACAGTGTTCAGCCTGCTTTTCATCGTCTCCACTGGCACATTTGTTGCTTAAAAGCACAAATACACTAAGTTAAAATCTTGGCCTGATCACTCACAAGCTATCACTTTGGGCAAGTCAGCTAACCTCTTACAGTTCAGGACTGCTTGAATTAATAGCAGTCATACTCCATAAAGACATTCTATGGATTAAATGTACTAATATAGATTAAGTACTTAGCATATAGCCTGCATCATGGTTAAGTGCTTGCAACTTGGTAGCTTTTCACAATACAGTACTAGGCAGCTGAAAAGAGTATGAAAAATTCCTATGAACTGGTATGGAGTGACTTCCAGTGTTGACTATGCATCAGATAACAGTAAGTGGTGATGTTAAACGTCCCGAATTTGATAATTGTACCATGGCTATGTAAAAGAACATCCTTTTCCTAGAAGACACACCCTTTGTGTATGTGTGTACAGAAAGAGCAAAAGCAAATGAGGCTAATGTTAACGATGGTGGAATTTAGGTGAAAGACCCTAAGGGAGGTTGACTAAACTGAACTTTCCTCGATGGTGGAAACTTCTATTCAAAAAAGAGGTTTAAAAAAATAATAGTTCTTTAGTTTTATTGTAACATAGTTATTGTATTTTCTGGCAAAAAGGTACATCTAAATGCTTGATCCTTTGGCATATAGCTTAAGTGGTAGCCCTCAAATAATCTAAAGCAGAAAAAGTTTGGGCAAACACAGAAGCCTGCAACCACATTTATTAGAAAAATATTATCATTTGGAAATTCCTTTCTTTAAAGGCTAAAGACTTGCTCCAGGGCATTGTTCTTTCTGTTTTCATCAAATTCTCTTTCACATGGCGCAAGTCCCAGCTCTCTGGATGCTCACAGGCCAAGGGACAGTCCATTGTCACCACAAATCCAACCGAACACACGGCAAGTCACGAGGCAGCACTGTGAAGCCGGCCTATTGTTTCCATCCAGAAGGTTCTGGAGACAACACAGCTGGGAACAAGACACCAGAGCTACTCAGCAACCACAACAGCCATCCGGTTTGCCTGCAGGAGCTCGCACCTCACCTTTTCTTCACAAACTTCTTTCTGGAAGCATTGGGATTTAAACGTCTCCTCCCAGCTCCTAGGGTGCTGTCCCGGACCTGCAGGGTAGCCGACCTGCTGGAGATGTCATTCTCAGCAAAGGGGGAGACCCCGGCTATGTAGTCAGGGGCGAACACATTGGTTTTCTGCCTGGCCTTTTGGGAGAGTCGCAGCTGAGGGAAGCGCTGATCCTCGGTGAGATGGGGGTTGATGGCGTATTTGCCACCTTTAGGAGCAGGAAGTGAGTACTGCAAAGATGAGGAAAGGCCGTTAGAAGAACAGGGATCCACAGTCATGGCAGATGGCAATAATGGACAGTAATTTCCTGCCTGCTACGTGCCAAGCGTGTGACACGCTCCTCTTACTTGATTCTCACTTCAACTCACAGGTAAGAAACCAAACACAGTATTTTGAGTATATCTTCAGCTAAGGACAAAAATGAATTATGTACAGACATAGAACTCTAATAAGCAGGTATGCTTTCAAGTGGTATGGGTTAGCAATTCTGAAATGACAAGGTATATTCTAGGGTTGAGCAAATAACTACTAAGGGAAACAGTGTTAAGGGTGTTATGAATGTGGAAAGAGGGTGGGCTAGGATGCACTCTGGTGTTGGGCTGAAACTGAGGGTATAAATGTATGGTTTTTAACACAGATACAGAAATACAAAATATTCGAGTGTGTATTTACACACATGTATATATTTCCTACCTTTGTCCACTGAGGGCCAAGAAATAATGACACTCCATGACAATGAGCACACCCCCAGTGCCCAGATTTTTGCTTCTAAGAAACATTCTCCATTAAAAATAATCAGCGGTCCTAAGAGAAATGGCTGATCCTAGGGCAGGGGCAGGAGAAGGCTAAGAGTCTAGGAACATCTTGCTGTGCCAGAAAATAAGAAGTGTTCAAATAACTGGGACACGTCAAAAGGACACAAGAGCTGGCTTGAAGTGGATCCCACTGGCCAAGCATAGAACAATTTGAATCTCAAAATAATGATGGTAACCACTGGGCATGGTGGCTCACACCTGTAATCCCAGTACTCTGGGAGGCCAAGGGGGGAGGATCACTTAAGGTCAAGAGTTTGAGACCAGCCTGAGTAAGACCCCATCTCTAGTAAAAATAGAAAAATTAGCCAAGTTGTGGTGGCATGTGCCTGAAGTCCCAGCTACTCGGGAGGCTGAGGCAGGAGGACTGCTTGAGCCCAGGAGTTTGAGGTTGCTGTGAACTAGCATGTGAACTAGCATGATGCCACCGCATTCTGTCCAGAGCAACAGAGCAAGACAGTCTCAAGGAAAAAAAAGAAAAGATTAACACTGGAAAAGCCAGATGAAGGGTAAATAGGAATTCTTTGCATAATTTTTTGCAATTTTTCTATAAACTGAAAGTTATTTCAAAATACAAAAGTTAAAAAAACTCTTCTCATGCATTTGTGGCCCACTTACCGCTTGGGGAAACCAGTGCCACTCACATGTCCCTCAATCCTTCTCTCTCGAATCAGTGAAACAAATCCCCAACTGCTGTACATCCAGCCCCGGCCTCTCTTCCGGGCTAAGCGTTCCTGCGATCCTGCCCATCCTTCAACTCCTGCACAAATCTCACCTCCACCACATTCCAAATGATCTCCCCCTTCATGACACCCCACACACATAGTTCTTAGCATTTACTGCTGGCAATTACCAGTTATTTCTCATGGGATCAGCAGCTCCAGAAACTCACGAGGGGGCCTTGTAGTACACTCTCCCCCATCTGCCTTGTGCCTTAGTCACCAGCTTTCAATATTCCCATCTTGCAGACACAACTAGGTTTTTGTCCTCTCTGTTCGTTTCAATTGTGGAATTGTGGTGGTATGAGGGGAACAAGAGACGCGCTACTTACCCGGAGGCCCCGAGGATTCAGCACCTTGGGGTTGCGGGAAAAGTGCATATGCAGGGTGCCATCGTCACTGATGGTCACAGACACTTTCTTCAGGGTCTTGTTCCCACAATGTGAACAGAACACTCGGCCCATGTCAGATGTTGTCCTGGGAGATACAAAGGACATGCTTAGTGTTGGGGCCACAGGCGGCAACCCCTTACCCAGAACACAAGGCAAGTCACAGGCGAGGGAAAAAGAAAACCAGGAAAGGCTGAACCACACCACACTCGTCACAGAAATAAGGCCGCCGGCCTCATGCCGAAAATGTAACCAACTGCTGCCCTCCTCTGGGGGAGAAGGTAATACAAGGAGCGAATAAGCAGGAGGGAAAAATGAGTAGGATATTGTTAATTATTAAATAGTAATGAACTCTCACTGAACATGGCCAGGCACTATTCTACACATTTAACATCTCAGCAATCTTGTGAGATTGGAACTATCTCCATTTTACAGATAAGGAAACCGAGGCAAGTTAAGGCAGCTTGCTCAGGGTCACACAGCTCCAATGTGCCAGATGTACTCAGGTACTGGCTCCAGAATCAATGCTTTTAACATCACTGTACTTTCTCAAGGAGCACATTATTACAGCTCTACCTTGTCCCCAAATGTCAGCCGGAATGTTGACCCAGGAGGTGCCTCTGTGGGTGGCAAGAACATACTAATGAATTACACAGGAAACACGACAAAACTTGCCACGGCTGAACTGAGTGTGGGTTTTGAAGGCAGACTCTGAGACCTTGCCTCTCTCCTACCTGCTCAAACCCTCATGGGGGACCCCACACAGAAAAATGCTGCTACCATCAAGGACCAAACAGTGGCCTTGGTTCCTGTTCTTCAGGAGTCCTCCATCCACTCCCAAGTCAGGAGACTACAGCTGTGTGTGGAGCAGCTGGAGAAGCCAAACCTCTTATTTTCGAGTCTCCTGAGTGTGAACTAAGTACCTCTAAGCAGGTGCTACATTAATTATTCTGTACAAAAAAATTGTGCAGGCCAGGCGTGGTGTCTCACGCCTGTAATCCTAGCATTCTGGGAGGCCGAGGTGGAGGATTACTCGAGGTCAGGAGTTTGAGACCAGCCTAAACAAGAGTAAGACCCTAAAAAATAGAAATTAACCAGACAACTAAAAATATATATAGAAAAAATTAGCAGGGCATGGTGGTGAATGCCTATAGTCCCAGCTACTTGGGAGGCTGAGGCAGTAGGATTGCTTGAGCCCAGGTGTTTGACGTTGCTGTGAGCTAGGCTGACGCCACGGCACTCTGGCCTGGGCAACAGAGCGAGACTCTGTCTCAAAAAAAACCCGTGCAGCCACTGGGGCTAGCCACACGAGAAAGGAGAACATTTCCAGGTGTTTCTATGAATGCATGTTAATTTGGGAAATTAGGACTTTTGTAAGAAAGGACAATGGGGGAAATGAAATATGAAGCAAGGAGCTTTACTGTCAAATGAGCCTAAAACAGGAAAATTACATTAAGATTCAGAAGAATGCACAGGCAGCTCTGAGGAAAGGCTAATTAAATCACCCAAAGAGCTAGAGAGAGTGGTGGCGTGAATGACTGGTTATTTTTAAGCCTTCAGGGAAACAAAGCTCCACCCAGGCAACTCTACCCTCAGTGGAACAGCTCCGGGTACCCAGCGAGCAACACCTTGATGCTTCATGAACGTTCCACACAGCCCTCTCCAATAAGGGCTCCACCAGACGACCTACATGATGGCCACCAAATCGAGACCGAGTCTGTGGGATGGCTGAAAGCCACCCCAGTACAATTCCTCAGGGCCACACTTCACCAACGAGACTATAGTACATAAAGTCTCTTCTACTCCAACCAGAGGGTCTCCAGGATCTCAGAGGCCTCCCCACAGAACACCAGTGCCCACCACAAGAAGGACCAATTCAAGAGTCAGAGAAGAAGTGGAGAGAAGAGAGCAGTTAACACGTAACAGTTCACCCAAAGGAACTCCTGGCTTCCTATGTGCCAGATACTGCACTAAGTTCCTAAGGATTCATCTTCCTACTTCCTCACAACCACCTTCTCCATTTTATTTAAGAAGAATGTGAAGCACAGAGAAGTTAACCAACTTCTGTAAAATGACACAGGCGGAAGACAGAATCTGGATTTGAACCCATGTACTCTGCATCCAGTTTACTTTCTTTCTTTTTTTGGTCAATAGAAAATTCCCAGCATAACACAGACAGAAGAACACAATGAATCGCCATGTCTAGCTTCAACAACTATCAATTCATGGCAAATCTTGTTTCATCTTTTCGCCCAACCACTCCTTCCACTGTGCATTACATCAAAGCAAATCCCAGACTCATTCCATGCACAAACATTTCAGTAAGTATCTTTAAAGAATGAGGGTTCTTTGTTCCAGAACCCAGGTCCTTAACCCAATGCTGCTGAAGTAAGGTGGGAAGTCACATTCAACCTTGTCCCAGGGGTTTCAGTACCCAGGTCGAGGCATAACCTGGGCTGCACAGCAATTATGAAGTAGAAGAAAACATATATATAATATAATGCAGGGCTCTCTTTCAAGAAGCCTGTAGGAGGCTGGGGGTGGTGGCTCATGTCTGTAATCCTCACACTCTGGGAGGCCAAGGTGGGAGGATCGCTTGAGCTCAGGAGTTCCAGACCAGCGTGACCGAGAGCAAGACCCTGTCTCCACAAAAAAATTGAAAAATTAGCTAGGTGTGGTGGCACATGCCTATAGTCTCAGCTACTCAGAAGGCTGAGGCAGGAGGATTATTTGAGCCTGGGAGTGTGAAGTTGCAGTGAGCTGTGATGACGCCACTTGCACTCTAGCCAGGGCAAGAGTGAGACTCTGTGTCAAAAAAAAAGTCCACAGAAGGGAGAAGAAGAGAGTGTTCAAGAGGGGTAACAGGTGCCGATTATGAGCCCACGTACCTGAAACAGCCGTGGCAGCGCAAGATGTAGCTCCGGGCCTCGCGGATCAGCATGCCATTCACTGCCAGCACATGCAGCCCCATCTGCAGCAGAACATTCTACAACCAACAAGTTAAAGAACTGAACTAAGTCTTACTTCTGTAATCACAGTTAGGGGAACGTTGCAAACCTCACTGTGGCCCACAATCCTTGGCTTTTTTTGCTAAGGAAAGTCCATCTTGGGATGCCTCTCAAGATCTGTCAGTGATGACAAGGACCCAGGTTTCCTTTTTTTTGAGACACAGTCTCACTTTGTTGCCCAGGCTAGAGTGAGTGCTGTGGCATCAGCCTAGCTCACAGCAACCTCAAACTCCTGGGTTCAAGTGCTCTCGGGGAGGCCAACAGGTGGGGTCCGGATCGTCTTTGAACTCAGGAGTTTGAGACCAGCCTGAGCAAGAGCGAGACCCCGTCTATACTAAAATAGAAAGGAAATTAGCTGGACAACTAAAAATATATAGAAAAAGTTAGCCGGGCATGGTGGCACATGCCTGTAGGTCCAGCTACTCGGGAGGCTGGAGGCAGAAGGATTGCTTGACGCCAGGAGTTTGAGGTTGCTGTGAGCTAGGCTGATGCCACAGCACTCACTCTAGCCTGGGGAACAAAGGGAGACTCTGTCTCAAAAAAAATGATAGGACTCTTGTGTGAGTCAGACCTGCGCACCATGGCATGGGAGCGATCCCAAGCTACAGGGAAAGCCACTTGCTAAGTGCTTAATGCTGACGCGCTCCAGCTAAGGTCTCAGCTACAGCCATTTATCCACCACCATTAAGAGAACGGAGTCTTCAGATGATTCTAGGCCCCCAGACTCAAATTTTCCAGATGTCATGGAGTTCCGACAAGCTGTCCCTATAAGGAAAGCATCTGACCCCAGTCTTATGCCTAATAAAAGGTAGTTTTACACCACTAAGATTTCGGGGTAATATTATATTGACACAGCCATAACTAACCAGAATAGGCAACAGATAATATGTGAAGTGGCAACAAGAAAATAAAGTAGGAGAGTGGGAAAGAGAGAGTTGGAGTTTGAACGAGAGAGGAGGTGGGCCAGAATCATATTTGCAGGGACTGATCACAACTAGCAGTTCGTGCCCATATCTGTCCCATTGTCCCATTTTATAGTTTAAAATTGGAACACTTAAATAGGCTGTGTCTACCATGAACTTTCATTTAGGTGTTGTATGTCGGACAGTGGCAGACGTTAGGTACTTCTGTGCATCATAGACTATAGTTTTTTTTACAAGATTTTTATTCAAAGCAAAATTTTCCGCTTCATAGAAAAAGTTTACGGCCGGTCGCGCGGTGGGCCCTCACGCCTGTAATCCGTAGCTCTCTGTGAGGCGAGGCGGGCTGGTATCGCTCCGAGGTCGGGAGTTTCGAAACCCAGCCTGGCGAGCAGAGCGAGACCCCGTCTCCCTACTAATAACCGGAAGCGAAAATAGAAGAAACCTAATTGCCAATAATATATATAGAGAAACAAATTACGCGCATGGTGGCTCTGCCTTAGTCCCAGCTACTTTGGGAGGCTGAAGACAGAAGGATCGCCTTGAGCCCAGGAGTTTGAGGTTCGCTGTGAGCTAGGGCTGAGCGCCACGGCACTCACCCATCTAGCCTAGCGAACAGCAGACTCTGTCTCAAAAAAAAAAAAAAAAAAAAAAAAAAAAAAGAAAAAGTTTTACCAACTCCTGATACAGCGGCCTTGTACGAACATGATCGAGTTGGCTCTTATTCTGAAATAAAAAGGGAAGGCCTTTCCCAAATAGGTTTGTTTGTTGTTTTGAGAGAGTGGTCTCAATTTGCCGAGGCTGGTCTTGAATTCCCTGGCTTAACAAGAGCTGGGTCCCCCACCCTCAGCCTCCTGAGCACTGGACTCCAGGTGCACACCCACCCCATGGCCTGGTTTGGAGCTGTTTTAGCAGAGAGTGAACATTATCTGCTCTATCTTTAAAAGTACTCCCAGACCTGTGGTGGAAGGCAGGAGTAGAAAAGGCCATTCAATCGCAACTACGAGCTCAGGTGGTAAGAAGGGCCTGTCTTACTATACACACAAGATATCAAGCAAGGAACGGTATGTTCCAAAATGTTGGAATGCTTTTTGTGTAATTAGAGACAGTTACTAACACTAATTCTTTGGGGGAAATGAACACTTAAGGATAAACTTCCATGCAGAATTTCAAGTTAGCAGTGCCCTGTCTGTTGTATCTACTTCTCACTGCAATGCTGTGAATAATAGATGTGATATTCCCTTTCTGCCAGAGAGAAAAATGAGCCCCAAAGAATAAAGGGGTTTCCCCAGGTGCCAGTTGTTCAGGGGCCTGAATCCAGGCTTGCCTCCAGGCCTGGTCTTTTCTTCCTTGCAATACTATGCCTGCTTCCCAGTTAAATTCTGGAAGCTACATGAGAGGCGTAGTAACATACAGTGTTGATGGCTATTATTTCGTAGCCAGGAAAGTAAAGCAATGAAGAAATAAATTTAAATTTATCTAAAGACTTGCTTGTGTGCTTAAAGGAACAATTTGATCAGATCCGGATGGGGCTTGGGCACCAGTGGCTCACGCTTATAATCCTGCATTCCTGGGACCAAGGCAAGGATGATCGACTTAAGTCAGGAGTTCCGAGACCGAACCTGAGCAAGAGCGAGACACCATCCTGTACTGAAAAAGTAGAAAAATAAGCGGCGTGTGGTGCTGTGCACCTGTAGTCCCAGCTTCTTGGGAGGCCAAGGCAGGAGGATTGCTTGTAGCCCAGGAGTTTGAGGTTGCTGTGAGCTAGCCTGACCACACGGCAACTCACTCAAGCCGTGGCAAAAAAAGTGAGACTCTGGTCCAAAAAAAAAAAAAAACCAAAACAACAACCAAAAAGAAATGGATGAAATTGGTGGGAGAAGAGGGCGCGTCTAACATTTCATTTTAAATTTAGGCATTGCTCAAAAAAAGAGAATGTTACCCTATTTTTATCCGAGTGTAGTTCCTTACGCTTGTCTGAAAAAAAATGTACTCTGGATAAAGAAAAATCATAAAGGAATGCATAGTTGTTTAAAATAGCTGACTGATAAGAATTAAAAGTTTCTTAGTGTTTTTCGTTTTTTGAGACAGCGGTCCCTTACTTAGTTACCCACTGGGCTGAGTGCAGAGTGCATCCATCATAGCTCCAGCAGCAACCTCCAATCCTGAGGCTTAAGTGATCCTCCTGCTTCCAGCCCTCCCACGAGTAGCTGGATTAACAGGCACGTGCCACATGCCCAGCTAAGTTTTCTATTTTTTGTAGACCAAGGGTCTTATCTTGCTCAGGTTGGTCTTAAACTCGCCTGAGCTCAAGTTGATCCTCCCACCCTTGGCTCCCAAAGTGCTAGTAATTAGAGGTGTGAGCACTGGCCCAGCGCTAAAAATTCCCTTAGTACTTTAAGATGATCTTACTAATGTTTTTTTTAAACCACACAAGTTGTCATGACTTTTATTCAACATGCAATTGTCAGCCCAAACCCCGGTTTTTGGTGCCTATGTACTGGAATGGAAGCGGGTGAGACTGGTGAACGAGAGAAAGAAAGGCATTCAAAGAGCATGCAAGGCGCTTGCCTTGGCCTTTCCTATAGGCATTCCTTTTGGCGACACGCAGCTTAGAACGAAATGGTGACTCTGTTGGGGCTGTGAAAGGTTGTCTGGTAGGATTTTGGTCCGCTTGCTTCTGTTTCGTACATGGATTCAAAGGAAGCTTCCCAGGAAAATCTCTTACTGTACAGGCCTGATAGCTACCAATATCCACAAGTGACCCTGTCAGAGACCAGGGGCACACTCCATGGTCTTCCCAACGGGTGAGTAATGATTTGTCTAAAAATGTAGGGTTTCCTCTAGCCTCCTTCCAAGCGTGGTTTTTTTTTTGGTGTGTTTTCTTTTTTTTTTTTTTGAGTTTTGAGAACAGAGTCCTCGCGTTTGTTGCAGGCTAGGGAGTGCCATGGCGTCAGCCTAGCTCACCAGCAACCGTCCAAACCTCCTGGGCTCGACGTGATCCTTCTGCCCTCAGCTCCGGGTTAGGCTTGGACTGACAGGCATGCGCCCACCCATGCACCGGCTAATTTTTATTATAGTATATCGGTTGCAAGTAATTCTTTTCTATTTTATAGTAGAGACGGGGCTCTCGCTCGTTGCTCAAGGCTGGTTTCAGAAACTCCCTTGCCTTGGGCAACTCCGCCGCCTCGGCCCTCCCCAGAGCCTAGATTACAGGCGTGAGCCAGCAGCGCCCCCGGCCCCAAGAGAGTGTTTTTGATGTTTCTTTGCAAAACCCAGACATTTCATTACCGTTAAATGTTGTTATTTCCTGGAATTTGAGCAAAGCATAAGTCAACGGTGAGACTAAACAAGCTGGGAATTTGTGGCATCCTGCCTTTTCTGTATGGTCCACGTAAACACACCAGAAGGGCATGGTGGACACATCCCCTAGGCTGACCCCAATACTCTCTCCCTGTAGCACCTGGCCCCTACTGGGTGTCCATCTTCATGTGGCACCCAAAGCGGAATTTCACAAAGACAGGATGAGAGGAACAGTGTTCAGTCCTGCTTTTCATCTCTCCACGCTGGCACCATTTGTTGCTTAAGAAGCATCAAAACACTAGTAAAAATCTTGCCTGATCACTGCACAAGCATATCACTTTGGGCAAGTCAGCTAAACCTCTTACAGTTCAGGACTGCTTGAATTATAGCAGTCTATACTCAGTAAAAACATTCAGTAAATGTGTGACTAATATACGATTAAATCTTATCATATAGCGCATCATGGTAGTGCTTGCAACTTGGTAGCTTTTCACAACTACAGTACTAGGCAGCTGAAAGAGTATCGTGAAAAATCCTATGAACTTGGTATGGAGTGACTTCCAGTGTTACTATGCATCAGATAACAGTAAGCTGGGATGTTAACGTCCCGATTTGATAAATTGCTAACGCAGGCTATGAATAAGAACAGCCTTTTCCTAGAAGCACACCCTTTGTTATGTGTGTTACAGAAAAGCAAAGCAAATGAGGTACATGTTGAACAATGGCGGAATTTAGTGAAGACCCTAAGGGAGGTTGACTAAAACTGAACTTTCCTCGATGGTGGAAACTGTTATTCAAAAAAGAGGTTAAAAAATACAAGTTCTTTAGTTTATTGTAACATAGTTATTGTATTTCTGGAAAAGGTACATCTAAATGCTTGATCTTTGGCATATAGCTTAAGTGGTAGCCCTCAAATAATCTAAAGCAGAAAGTTTGGGCAAACACAGAAGCCTGCAACCACATTTATTAGAAAAATATTATCATTTGGAATTCCTTTCTTTAAAGCTAAAGACTTGCTCCAGGGCATGCTTTCTGTTTCATCAAATTCTCTTTCACATGGCGCAAGTCCCAGCTCTCTGGATGCTCACAGCCAAGGGACAGTCATTGTCACCACAAATCCACAGCGACACACGGCAAGTCACGAGGCAGCACTGTGAAGCCGGCCCTATTGTTTCCATCCAGAATTTCTGGAGACACACACAGCTGGGAACAAGACACCAGAGCTACAGCAACCACAACAGCCATCCGGTTTGCCTGCAGGAGCTCGCACCTCACCTTTTCTTCACATTCTTTCTGGAAGCCATTGGATTTAAACGTCTCCTCCCAGTCCTAGGTGCTGTCCCGGACCTGCAGGGTAGCCGACCTGCTGGAGATGTCATCTCAGCAGAAGGGGGGACCCCGGCTATGTAGTCAGGGCGAACACATGGTTTCTGCCTGGCCTTTTGGGAGAGTCGCAGCTGAGGGAAGCGCTGATCCTCGGTGAGATGGGGTGATGGCGTATTTGCCACCTTTAGGAGCAGGAAGTGAGTACTGCAAAGATGAGGAAAGGGCTTAGAAGGAACAGGGATCCACAGTCATGGCAGATGGCAATAATGCAGTAATTTCCTGCCTGCTACGTGCCAGGTGTGACACGTCCTCTTACTTGATTCTCACTTCAACTCCACGGTAAGAAACCAAAACACAGTATTTTGAGTATATCTTCAGCTAAGGACAAAAATGAATTATGTACAGACATAGAACTCTAATAAGCAGGTATGCTTTCAAGTGGTATGGGTTAGCAATCTGAAATGAACAAGTATATTCTAGGGTTGAGCAAATAACTACTAAGGAAACAGTGTTAGGGTGGTTATGAATGTGGAAAGAGGGTGGGGCTAGGATGCACTCTGGATGGGCTGAAACTGGAGGTGATAATGTATGGTTTAACACAATACAGAAATACATAAATTCGAGTGTGTTTTACACACATGTATAATTTCCTACCTTGTCCCACTGAGGCCAAGAATAATGACACTCCATGACAATGAGCACACCCCCAGTGCCAGATTTTGCTTCTAAGAAACATTTCCCATTAAAATAATCAGCGGTCCTAAGAGAAATGGCTGATCCTAGGGCAGGGCAGGAGAAGGCTAAGAGTCAGGAACATCTTGCTGTGCCAGAAATAAGAAGTGTTCAAATAACTGGGACAGTCAAAAGGACACAAGAGCTGGCTTGAAGTGATCCACTGCCAAGCATAGACATTTGAATTCAAAATAATGATGGTAACCTGGCATGGTGCCTCACACCTGTAATCCACGTACTCTGGGAGCCAAGGGGGGAGGATCACTTAAGGTCAAGAGTTTGAGACCAGCCTGAGTAAGACCCATCTCTAGTAAAAATAGAAAATTAGCCAAGTTTGGTGGCATGTGCCTGAAGGTCCCAGCTACTCGGGAGGCTGAGGCAGGAGACTGCTTGAGCCAGGAGTTGAGGTTGCTGTGAACTACATGTGAACTAGCATGATGCCACGCATTCTGTCCAGAGCAACAGAGCAGACATCTCAGGAAAAAAAGAAAAATTAACACTGGAAAAGCCAGATGAAGGGTAAATAGGAATTCTTTGCATAATTTTTGCAATTTTCTTAAACGAAAGTTTTTCAAAATACAAAAGTTGCCGGGCCGGTGGCTCACGCCTGTAATCCCAGCACTCTGGGAGGCGAGGCGGGCGGATTGCTCAAGTCAGGAGTTCAAACCAGCCTGAGCGAGACCCGTCTCTACCATCAAATAGAAAAGAAATTAATCCAACTAATATGCTATAATATAAAAATCAGCCGGGCATGGTGGCTTGTGCCTGTAGTCCCCGCTACTCGGGAGGCTGACAGGAGGATCGCTTGAGCCCCAGGAGTGTGAGGTTGCATGTGAGCTAGGCTGACGCCACGGCACTCACTCAAGCCTAGGCAAGAAAGCGAGACCTCGTCTCAAAAAAAAAAATACAAAAGTATTAAAAAACTCTTCTCATGCATTTGTGGCCCACTTACCGCTTGGGAAACCAGTGCCACTCACATGTCCCTCAATCCTTCTCTCTCGTCAGTGAAACAAATCCAACTGCTGTACATCCAGCCCGGCCTCTTCCGGGCTAAGTTCCTGCGATCTGCCCATCCTTCAACTCCTGCAAAATCTCACCTCCACCACATTCCAAATGATCTCCCCTTCATGACACCCCACACACATAGTCTTAGCATTTACTGCTGGCAATTACCATTTTTCTCATGGGATCAGCAGCTCCAGAAACTCACGAGGGGCCTTGTAGTACACTCTCCCCATCTGCCTTGTGCTTAGTCACCAGCTTTCAATATTCCCATCTTGCAGACACACTAGGTTTTGTCCTCTCTGTTCGTTTCAATTGTGAATTGTGGTGGTATGAGGGGAACAAGAGACGCGCCTACTTACCCGGAGCCCGAGGATTCAGCACCTTGGGGTTGCGGAAAAGTGCATATGCAGGGTGCCATCGTCACTGATGGTCACAGACACTTTCTTCAGGTCTGTTCCCACAATGTGAACAGAACACTCGCCCATGTCAGATGTTGTCCTGGGAGATACAAAGGACATGCTTAGTGTTGGGCCACAGGCGGGCAACCCCTTACCCAAACAAAGGCAGTCAAGCGAGGAAAAAAACCAGGAAAGGCTGAACCACACCACACTCGTCACAGAAATAAGGCCGCCGGCTCATGCCGAAAATGTAACCAACTGCTGCCCTCCTCTGGGGGAGAAGGTAATACAAGGAGCGAATAAGCAGGAGGGAAAAATGAGTAGGATATTGTTAATTATTAAAATGTAATGAACTCTCACCTGAACATGCCAGGCACTATTCTACACATTTAACATCTCAGCAATCTTGTGAATTGGAACTATCTCCATTTACAGATAAGGAAACCGAGGCAAGTTTAGGCAGCTTGCTCAGGGTCACACAGCTCCAATGTGCCAGATGTACTCAGTTACTGGCTCCAGAATCAATGCTTTTAACATCACTGTACTTTCTCAAGGAGCACATTATTACAGCTCTACCTTGTCCCCAAATGTCAGCCGGAATGTTGACCCAGGAGTGCCTCTGTGGGTGGCAAAACATACTAATGAATTACACAGGAACACGACAAACTTGCCACGGCTGAACTGAGTGTGGGTTTTGAAGGCAGACTCTGAGACCTTGCCTCTTCTCTACCTGCTCAAACCTCATGGATAGACTCTCTCCCTTCCTGTCCTCCAGTCTCTCCAGTCTCACTCCCACCACCACTGCTGCACAGAACACAAGCCATTAGGTTGCAGTTCCTGTGTTTGGGTGTGTCCTGCTGGAATTTTTTCACATTATGTATTGTCTAAATTAGATCACCCTTTCTTGGGCTTAGAACACACTAGTTAAACTGAAATTTCTCTTGAAATGACATTCATTTGTTGTGAAGAGATTTTATCTGAGGCAGCAAATCAAGTATGGGCACCAGATCCCAGAACTTAAGATACAGATGGGACCCTGTTGGCAGTGCTAGGTCATCTGCATCCCTGTCAGTAGCTCTTCAGCTTTCGTGTGAACACCTTTAGGGACAGAGGACTTGTTTGTTATTGCCAAGAGCAAGCTAAAGGAAAAATTAGGAAAAGGTGTTTCCTGCCTCTTGACTATGTGCCCCAGGCTGGTCTGAATCATGCGCTCAACTCCACAAGCATTTGTTAAACAACATTCATGGTCCAGGCACTGAGCTATGGATGTATAAAGAGAAGCAACATCCTGTCCCCAACATTGGCAGAGGTCTAAGCAACTGTCAGTCAATGTGCCCCCCACTTTCTGGTCATCTTGACTCACAGAATTATTATCTCATCACTGTCTTAGTTATGCAAAAGGGATTGCTTCTCCAAATACATAAACACAAACAGTGATCTAGACACCTTCAACATTTCCACTCTGTCTGTATATGCTGGGGTAAAGATATCTAAAAATTTCAGGGGCTATTAATCTAGACATCGGAGGGCTTTGCATAGGCTGCTTAGCTGTGGATTTGGGCAATACTGCGTCCACGAGGGTCTTTTGGAAACCTCAGTAGCACTGTGCTATGGACCATAAGTCGTAGTAAAGAAAACAACGGAATTCACACTTTGTTAAAATTATCAGTCAAGGACCATTTGTTTGCTGGTAGTTTTGGTTAAATAGGAATTCCAAATATCCCAAACTAGCAAGCAAAGCTTTTAAGCACAACTTGCTTATGTAAACAAGCATTCTCTGTAGTTCCCTGTAGTTACTCTTTTTCTTTTTTTATATATTTTTTGAGACAGGCATGAGCCACCCCTGTAGTTACTCTTGAAATCAAGTTAAATATAGAATCTGACCAGACTGTCTTTCCACTGTTAAACCCCAAATCAACAATTTCGTTTCAGCCAAGTAATATGCATTATCTGTCACATTTAATTAAAACAATCGTGGGCTAGAATTTTGGATTTTTTTGGAGTTTAAAGGTTATCCTTGTTTAATATGTCTACAAAATATAAAACAATTCGTTTATTTCTAGGCAGTCATTCCTGAATAGATGATTTAATCTGGGGGCAGTGGTGGGGGCAGGCAGACTAGCATCTTTTTACTATACTTTTATTAAACAAAATTTTCTTTTTTGTTATGTGTTCTCTCATACGGGTCACACATATGTCAGAGGACTTGTATTTACTTGTGTCCTTTGGTGTTAAGGCAAGCTCTGTCTTGGCATATGTAAAAACAAAGCTCCCAGCCCTGCACAGTGGCTCAGGCCTATGATCCTAACACTCTGGGAGGCAAAGGTGGGTGGATCCTTTGAACTCAGGAGTTTGAGACCAGCCTGAGCAAGAGCGAGACCCCGTCTATACTAAAAATAGAAAGAAATTAGCTGGACAACTAAAAATATATAGAAAAAGTTAGCCGGGCATGGTGGCACATGCCTGTAGTCCAGCTACTGGGAGCTGAGGCAGAAGGATTGCTTGAGCCCAGGAGTTTGAGGTTGCTGTGAGCTAGGCTGATGCCACAGCACTCACTCTAGCCTGGGGAACAAAGCGAGACTCTGTCTCAAAAAAAAGTGATAGGACTCTGTCTAGAGTCAGACCTGCCACCATGGCATGAGGATGCCCAAGCTACAGGAAGAAGCCACTTGTAAGTGCTATGGCTGACGGCTCCAGCTAAGGTCTCAGTCTACAGCCATTTATCCACCACCAATTAAGAGAACGAGTCTTCAGATGATTCTAGGCCCCCAGACTCCAAATCTTCCAGATGTCATGGAGTTCCGACAAGCTGTCCCTATAAGGAACACTCTGACCCCCGAGTCTTATGCCTAATAAAAGGTAGTTTTACACCACTAAGATTTGGGGTAATATTATATTGACACAGCCATAATAACCAGAATAGGCAACAGATAATATGTGAAGTGGCAACAAGAAGAATAAAGTAGGGAGAGTGGGAGGAGAGAGTTGGAGTTTGAACGAGAAGGGAGGTGGCCAGATCAATATTGCAGGGACTGATAAACTACAGTTCGTGCCATATCTGCTCCATTGTCCATTTTTATAGTTTATTGGAACACTTAAATAGCTGTGTCACCATGAATCTTTCATTTAGGTGTTATGTGGACAGTGGCAGAGTTAGGTACTTGTGACATAGACTATATGATCCAGAAAGCCAAAAATATTTATTCTGGCCCTTCATAGAAAAAGTTTACCGGCCGGGCGCGGTGGCTCACGCCTGTAATCCTAGCTCTCTGGGAGGCCGAGGCGGGCGGATCGCTCGAGGTCGGGAGTTCGAAACCAGCCTGAGCAGAGCGAGACGTCTCTACTATAAATAGAAAGAAACTAATTGGCCAACTAATATATATAGAAAAATTAGCCAGGCATGGTGGTCATGCCTGTAGTCCAGCTACTGTGGGAGGCTGAGACAGAAGGATCGCTTGAGCCCAGGAGTTTGAGGTTGCTGTGAGCTAGGCTGAGCCACGGCACCAACTCTAGCCTAGGCAACAAAAAGACTCTGTCTCAAAAAAAAAAAAAAAAAAAAAAAAAAAAAAAAAAAGAAAGTTTACCAACTCCTGATACAAGGGCCTTGTAGAACATGATAGAGTTTGGCTCTTATTCTGAATAAAAAGGAAGCCTTTCAAAGGGTTTTTTTGTTGTTTTGGAGAGAGGTGTCTCAAATATGCCGAGGCTGGTCTTGAATTCCTGGCTTAACAAGAGCTTCCCCCTCAGCTCCTGAGCAGCTGGGACTCCAGGTGCACACCACCATGGCCTGGTTTGGAGGTTTTAGCAGAGAGGTGACATATCTGGCTTATCTTTAAAAGTACTCCCAGAGCCTGTGGGAGGCAGGAAGTAGAAAAGGCATTCTCCACTACGAGCTCAGGTGTAGAAGGGCCTGTCTGTACATACACACAAGTCATCAAGCAAGGAAGGATATGTTCCAAAAGTTTGGAATGCATTTTGTGTAAGAGACAGTACTACACTATTCTTTTGGGGGAAATGAACACTTAAGGTATTAACACCATGCAGAATTTCAGTTAGCAGTGCCTTCCGATTTTATCTACTTCTCACTGCAATGCGTGAAATAGATGTGATATTCCCTTTCTGCAGAGAGAAAAATGAGCCTCAAAGAAGTAAAGGGTTCCCCCAGGTGCCAAGTGGTCAGGGGCCTGAATCCAGGTTGGCCTCCAGGCCTGCTTTTCTTCCTTGCCATATCTACTGCTCTTCCATGGCTTAAATTCTGGACAGCTACAGTGAGAGGCAGTAGTACATACAGTGTTGTGCTATTATTTCGTAAGCCAGGAAAGTAAGAAATGTAAGAAATAACATTTAAATTTATCTTAAAGACTTGCTTGTGCTTAAAGGAACAATATTTGATCAGAAATGGATGGAGGCTGGGCACAGTGGCTCACGCTTATAATCCTAGCACTCTGGGAGCCAAGGCAAGGAGATCACTTAAGCTCAGGAGTTCGAGACAACCTGAGCAAGAGCGAGACCCATCTGTACTAAAAAGTAGAAAAATAAGCCGGGTTGGTGGCTTGCACCTGTAGTCCCAGCTACTTGGGAGCCAAGGCAGGAGATTGCTTGAGCCCAGGAGTTAGAGTTGCTGTGAGCTAGGCTGACACACGGCACTCACTCAAGCCTGGCAAAAAGTGAGACTCTGTCTCAAAAAAAAAAAAAACCAAAACAACAACAAAAAGAAATGGATGGAAATTGGTGGAGAAGAGAGGGGCTGCTAACATTTCATTTTAAATTTAGGACTTGCTCAAAAAAAAGAAATTTAACTTTTTATGAGTTCATTACGTTTCTGAAAAAAAATGTACTTGGATAAAAAAATCAGAAAGGAAGCCATAGTTTGTTTAAAATAGCTGGATATAAGATTAAAGTTTCTTAGTGTCTCGTTTTTGAGACAGGTCTTACTTAGTTACCTGGGCAGAGTGCAAGTGGCATCATCATAGCTCACAGCAACCTCAAACTCCTGGGTTAAGTGATCCTCCTGCCTCAGCCTCCAGAGTAGCTGGATTACAGGCACGTGCCACCATGCCAGCTAAGTTTTCTATTTTTGTAGACACAGGGTCTTACTCT